GATAGTGGGAGCCATGGGGAAGGGGCCGTGACTGTCGGCTGGGTTGTGACCAAGGTCCCTGAATGGGCGTGCATTGGTCTCTGCAACGCAGTTTTGCGTGACTCTGCTCCCTGCACAAGTTCTAAGGGTTTGGAGCCGTTTGATGGGTGTCACTTGAGCGGGCAGAAAGGGCCAGCTTACTTGCCCCCTCTGCTTAACCCCCTCCATTGAAACGCCAACCCCACCCCCCATGTGCACCCCCACACAGCCCAACTACATGCGTGCATGGACCAACATGGGTGTGGCCTACGCCAACGTGGGCGACTACACGCGCTCAGCCGCCTTCTACGCACGCGCCCTGTCGCTCAACCCGGGGGCAGACCACGTGTGGGGCTACCTGCGCACCAGCCTGGCCTGCGCGGGGCAGACAGACATGCTGGCCGCGGCGGACCGCCGGGACTTGGCGGCGCTGCAGGCAGGCCTGCCGCTGTGAAGCGGCGTCCAGTAAACGCGACTGTGTTTTTGAGGCACCGCGCGCAGCTGTGATGCCCTTGCGGCGAGTGCCAGGGCAGACCATGCGCTGGTTGCACAAGGGCATGCCAGATGCCACGCCCTAACATGTTCACTCTGTCCCGCTTCATGCCACTGTTGTTGCAGGCTGTTGGCTGGTAGCTGTGTCCTTGTGCTTTCGATCGAGCTTTCCTTTGCTTTTGGTTGAGACTTCCTTGATTGCTTCCAAACCTGCTCTTCATACGCCACAGTAGTCAGCATCCTGCTCGGCTGTGCGCAGTCACTGTCGCAGGTTGAAGCACGCATGCCGCTGCAGCGCGCCTCTACAGCTCTGCACAGGCTGCACCCCTTGCCCTGAACGATGCAAGCACCCTCGTTGCTGCTTTGACACAGTGCAGCGCCCCAGGCCAGGATTAGCTGGTTGATGACCGCACTGTGGAGTAATCAAAAGCCAGCCAATGAACGCAAGTTCAGTAAGCTTGCAAGGAAAGCTCGATCGCGAACGGTGGCGCGAGCGTGACAGGGAGAGCGGTGCGCGCTGATGCCAGACGCATGCCTGCCTCCGCCTGCTGATTGCTAGCCTGCCGCCCAGGTCAGCTGCTAGCCAGCAGTTTGGCAGCGGGCGCAAGCGGGTCCCCACACGAATGTGCGAACGCGCATCTAATCTTGCAGTACGCCATAAGCATTTCTCTTCACGAGCTGCCATCCTGGGCACTCGAAGGCGCCTGAACGTTCACCCATCAGTTCACTGCCACCAGCAATGCACCACAAAGTAGTGCAGGGGTGACAGGAGCAAGCGGCCACTGCGACCAAGAAGATTGGTGCTGTGACGTGCCGGCAATCTGGCGGGCCCGACGCATACGCAGTCTGGCGCCCGCCAGCCGGGTTCATCAGAGCTGCGCCGGCAGCAATGGGCCACGCGCCTTGAACTGGCAAGCGCTTGTGCAGCGCCTGCCGAACGCGTAATTCGCCACAAGACTGCTTGTGCCAGGCGCATGTGCCCGCACACCCCAGCCCCTCTGCCTCAGACTTGCATGCTCTGAACCATTGCGAACGCTGTGAACACCAGCTGCACACTACCAGACCCTGCGCAGTGTTGGAGGCCGCCAGCCGCCACCAATATGCCTGTGATACCGCCCTTGAGAGCTTCGCGCCGTCAACAGAAGGTGGCGGCTCAGCAAAACCCCGTCGTGATGGACGACTGCAGGGCAGTCCATTGATTCCGGCCCAATTCAAGCGGTGGCCAGCTTGCCGGGGCCGTCCTCGCGCGCACGGCGCTGCAGGTAGCTGGGCGCGTTGGCGACGGTGGAGAGCAGCACCATGGCAACGCAGCAGGCGCCCAGCAGTGTGGTGAAGAAGCCGCCCCAGCCCGCCCTCTGGACGATGAAGGACAGGGGGATGCCCGCATTGGCGGCACCTTGCGGGGTGGGGCGGCAGGGAGAGGGAAGGGGGGTGAGGCGGGAGGAGTGAGCAGGGGTGGAAGGAGCAAGCCCTGCGCGGCCTGGCGGTTACAGTGAGCAAGCGGCAAGCGCAAGCCGTAGTCGGCTGCGTCGGCGCCACTGCCAATGTGCCTGGGAAGCCGCAGCCCTGGGCGCCACTCACCCAGGTAGGCTGGAGGATGACAAGCAGACGGCAGCGACAGGTGGACAAAAGGAAGCGGGTGGGCAGCGCAGAGGGCGTCAGCGAGCCATGGCAATTATGTGCGCGCTGATCAGCAGCAATCAAAGAGTGTGGCAGTGCCAATTGCAGTTGCATGCATGGCATCCTGACAGTCTACGCTACGCCAGTGTCAGGCAGAGCAGCCGCCCTCACCCTGCCCCCTGCAAAGTAAGTCGAAGCAGGCACCCCCACTCTCCCCTCCAGAACCCCAGGGCTCACCGATCCAGCCCAGGATGCCCTGAGACGCGCCCACTGCCGCCGGCGCCACCAGCTCCGCACCACTCAGACCGATGAGCCTGCACACAGGCAGAGAGGTTGGAACGGCGGGGTGAGGTGCCAGCCACCACACCACGACCAGCGCCAACTGGTCTGGCGCAGTCAGAGACCTGTTTCTGGGTGTGCTCACGCGCAAGCTCTGCGCCCACTCTTGAAGGGGCTCTATCCCACCCGTGCCAGCACCTCCCTCGAGCACGCCCCCTCCCCGACAGCCGTGCCCCGTCCCTCACATCTGCGGGCCGTAGATGGTGAAACCCAGGCCGGCGATGACCAGCCACTGCAGCGCCTTGGCGGACGCCGGCACCGCCTGCAGCGCGAGCAGCATGACCGCCATGCCGGCGGTGTACAGCATCACCACCTTGATGCGGCGCCCCACGTTGCCGCCCGCACCGCCGTTTGCGGTGGCGCGGCGGATGGCCACGTCACTCAGCAGGCCCGCCACGGTGGAGCCCGCCAGGCCACCCAGCTCCAGGCCTGGGGAACGCAGGGGGGTTGGGAGGCAATTACCATACGCAGGAGGGTCCACCAGGCCTTCACTGCATGCATTTCAAACGCTTGCCATGAGCGCCCTCGCCTGGCCCACCCCAGCGACCAGCCGTACCCTGCATGGGCTTAACCCCCCTCCCCTGTCGCCCTGCTCATTTCCGCAACCGTCACGGCCAGCGCACCTGACACGGTCAGCGCGGCCGCCCCTGCGTCCGCCGCGCCCTTCTCTGCCATCAGGTAGAACACCAGCCAGCTGGTCACGCCCTGGCGCACCACGTACACAAAGAAGTAGGTGAACGCCAGCGCCCAGATGGCGGGCATCTTTAGCACGCTGCGCAGCGCGTCCATCATGCCGTCGCCGTTGGACGCCTGCGCCTTGGGCTTGGCGGCGGCGCCGGCGGCCTGGGCGGGCGCGGCCGCGGGCTGAGGGGCCGGCGGCTTCTTGGGCGCCACGTCAGCGTCGACTGGCGGGAAGCCCACGTCTGTAGGGCGGTCGCGCACGGCCCCCAGCACGAAGAACGCCACCGCCAGGCCGATGGCGCCAGGAGCCCACATGCCAAAGCGCCAGCCAAAGGCCTTGGCGCAGCCGCCGACAATGACGGGGGCCAAGAAGCCGCCCAGGTTGTGGGCGATGTTCCACATGCCCCAGTAGCTGTAATGGGGGGAGAGAAGGTGGCGTGGTTTTCAATGGATCAGGCAAGCGCTTGGTTGGGTTCAAGGGGCTGCGAAACGAGCGCTGCTGCCTGCACGTTGCTACCGCTTGCCAGCACTCCACGCTTGCAATCCACCCATTCTGCACCCCGGCAGCCCCTCACGAGCATAAGTACAAAATTGCGCCCCTGATCCACCGCCCCATCTCCCGCGGGCGTGCTCACGTGCCGCGCTCCTTGGAGGCGAACCAGCGCGTGAGGATGGAGGCGCAGGAGGGCGCGCCCACGCCCTGCAGCATGCCGTTGAAGCCCCACAGCGCCACAAACAGCGGCAAAGAGCTGCTGGCACCGAACGCCAGGCACACGGCCGCGGTGGCAGCCAGGCCCAGGCCCAGCAGCAGGCGGCTGCTGACGCTGGCGGCCACAACGCCCGACACAAACTTGGAGACGCCGTACGCCATGGGGAAGATCGAGGTCATCGCGCCAATGTCTGTGAGGGTGAGGCCCAGCGACTTATCTGCCAGCAGCAGGGGGGCGCTGTAGGTCAGGGCGCCCCGCGTGAGGTAGAAGGTGGTGTAGCTGCAAAGGGGGGGGGGGCAGACGGAAGGCGTGTGTGGGATGGTTCGAAAGGGTTGCCAAGCGGAGGAGGACGGGTGAGAGAAGAGCGCATGGCGCAGAGGTAGCCTGCATGCAGGTGCACGGATGAGACGACGTGGGTGGGTGCGAACTGCATGCACACTTGCAGTGGGACCTGTGGGCAATGCTAGCAAAGTGTGTCGCTTTGTGCAACATGCCCCCTCTTCAAGCTCTGCTGCAGGAACTCAGTGACCCCCTTCAGGTCATGCCTGCTCTCCACGGCGCCCCCTCACCCGACCACGATGCCGAGAAACACCAGCATGCGGCGGCGCACAAACTCGGGGGCGTAGGCCTCCGCCGCAGCCTCGGGCTGATGTTGGACCAGAGGGGGCCAGCAGGGGTGGAGGGAGGCAAAGGCGGTGGGGAGGGGACACTTAACATTACCTCCACAGGCAACGCCGTTGCATGCCAGCACTAGGTGTGCCGCATGTAATGCATGCCCCCAGCGGACTGCATGCGCAGCGCAACAGCGTCGCCAAAGCCCGCACCTGCGGCTGCGGCGCTGCGGCGGCGGCTGCCGCGGCGATCTGGGGTGGCGCCGCGGCCTCCTCCTCCTCGGTGCTCATGGCGCCGCCATCCCCCTTCTCCTTTGGCAGGAACCGCGCCACCAGGCCCTCCGCACGCTTGGGGAACAGGGGTGCACGCGGGGCGGCGGCCCCGATCCTGCATGTCCGAGATGGCGCGTAGGGGAGCCGCATAGGACCAGTGCCGGGCGGTGCATGCGGGGCTGCAGTGGGCAGGAGGCGCATGCATGCAAAGCGGGCTGCATGGCGTCCATTGTCCTCGCTGGCGAGCACCGGCGGCCCTGGTCTTGGCGAGTCTGACACTGCGCGATGCGGCGCATGTATTCGGCCGGCCCACCTGCGCACTACCATTGCAACTTGTGGGCGCATCGCCAGCGCCGGCTGGGCGCGCGCGCTGCTGCCGGCCGCCTGCACGCATGGCAGGGCGGGGTGGGGTGGGGGCATCGGTCGGGGCACGCCCGAAACACCCGGGCTGCTCGGCATACCTCGGATCGCGTTTTTGAGCAGCACCACGCATCGAGATGCCGCACCTGCACCGGGGCCGCGACCTTTGACGCCATCGCCATGACCTGTCTTGAATAGAGACCGAAACGGACGCCAAGACGGCGTTCAAACAAATCAGCGATCCCTTTCAGAGTATTGTATGGGCGCTCGGGGCCCGTCGAGGTGATCACCCGCGCTGCAGCAGTGTCAGTTTCGAAGGCCTTTGCTGGGCTGCAGCCAAAAGGGACCGTATATCGAGCTGTGACCAGATTCAACGGGAATGGATGTCGCGCCGCATACGGGCCTGAATCGGCTGAAACCGGCGGTGGTCTGTGCAGGCACTTCCGGCCGCCCCGGCACACTTCCCCAGACCCAGCTGCGGTTCCTTGAGCGGCCCAGGGGCCCTGACGCGCATTGTAAGGACCATGTGTCAGCAATAAGAGCATGCATGCACCCTCCTGACACCAAAAGGAACGCCACAATAGGGCTGTTGCCATAACAGTCCACACTGCAAGCCAAGCAGTGTACCACCTCAACCGAAGTCAGATGAGCTTGCAGCCATGGCCTATGCCTCATGCAAGGGCTGGAAGCCTGCCGAGTCATGTTCATTACAGCGACCAAGCGGCTGCGAACACAGAGTCCACATGCAAACACACACACGAGCACGCGGGCTGAACAGGCGAATCGCGCGTTTCTCAGCGCGCCTGCGCGGCCTGTCAATAATGACACCAGGACCACAGATACCCCCCGGCGAAGCGGCACGGCGGCGATGCTGCGCGCCCGCATCGGCCACGTCACCGTTTCTGCCGCTTGGCCGCTTCCTGCCGCTTGGCCTTGGCGCCCTTGGCCGCCCCCGCCTGCGCCGCCTTGACCAGGGTGCCCAGCTTCTTGGTCGCGCCGGCCTGCTTGCCTTTGCGCCGGTTGAGCATCTTGCGGTCAAACGACCAGTACGCATACGGCTCCACGCCGCCGCCCTTGGTGTCGCCGCCAGTGCCGCCCGTCTTGGGCTTGAACCTATCGCCGCTGTGCTGCTGCCCGCGCCCGCCGGCGACGCTGCCGCCCCTAACGCTCCCACGCCCGCGGCCCCCCGCGCTGCTCGCGCCGCCGCGGCTGCGGCCGCCGGCGCTCCGCCCGCCGGCGCTCTGGCCGCCGGCCGCGCTAGGCGCGAAGCGGACGCTCTTGGCCCCCGCCAGCGCGCGTTCTATGCCGGGGCCATAGCCGCGCAGGTCATCGTAGTCCGAGTCGTCAGAGTCGATGAAGAACTCCTCGCCCCCGCGCTTGCGCTTGGCCCGCAGCGCAGCCTTCTTGGCGCGCCGCCGCTCCTCCTCCTCCGGGTCGTCGATCACCATGCGCCCGTCAGAGCCCGTCTCAAACGCCGCCGCGCCGCCGGCGGCGCGCGGCCGCGCCGCTGCCGCACCGCCGCCGGCCGCGGCGCGAGACAGCTGGCGTGCTGTTGTGGCGTCCAGCAGGTCAACCGGCTCGCCGCCTGCGCCGCCGTCGAGCAGCCGCCCGCCACCCCGGCCCCCCGGGGCCGTCGCGCGGCTGCGGCCAGACACGCTCGCAGCGCCGCCACGGCCGCGGCCGCCCCTGCCGCTGGCGCCGCCGCCGCCCTCCTCGTCGTCCTCCCCCTCGTCGCCAAAGATGGCGGTGTGGCCCCACTCGCTGGCACGCGCGGTGCGCGCGGTGGCGCTGCGGCCCGCGCTGCTGCGGCCCCCCTGGGAGCGCGAGTCCAGCGCGTCCCCGGCCTGGAAGGAGGATTGGATTCATGGCAAGGGAGGAGGGCATGCGGTACGGGGGGCATGAGTGGTTGTTGGGCATGCGTTTGAGGAGAAGGGATGCGCCAGGCAGGCCGGGTAGTGGCCGGCAGCCGGGAGGGGTCTAGAGAGCAGTTGGTGGATGGCACGGGGTGGAGGAGGGAGATGTACAGCACGCAAGGTGGCTGAGGGATGTGCGGCCCAATGAACAGCGCCGGCGCGACGGCATGCGCGCGCGCTTGCCTGAGGGTTATCCGCTGCTGTTAACACTACTGTGCGCCCCCGAAAGGCCTCGGCACCGCATAGCAGAGCGGTACCATGGTGAGTTGTGGGGCAGTCCTTGACCGTGCACACGCCATGTCCACAAAAATGAGCCTGCTCTCAACCCCTGGGTGAAATCACCACTCCACGGCGGCGTCTCTGAACCCATGCTCACCTCGCTGCCGCCCTCGCTGCCCCCCGCCCGCCGCCGCTCCCGCCGCGCGTTCTGCTTGCGAATGTGCACCACCAGCTTCGACTCGCTGTCGGGGCAGGCGGCCTGCACGGCCTCGAGGCCGCAGCGCCGAACCAGGCGCTCCACGATCATGCGGGTCTTCAAGCGGAAGCGGTTCTTGCTGTCATCACTCCACAGCAGCAGCCCCTCAAGGATGGCCTGTGGACAGGGGAGGGGGAGAGAGGTGCGCGAGGATGGGTGGCGCGGGCGAGGCGGTGGGTGTTGTGGACGTAGTCCTGTGCCCTATGCCACAAACACTGAGCAAGCGCAGCTGCCAGCACGGCGCAAGAAGCCCGGGTGCGCTCAACACCCGACCCGAGCGCCGCGCGCCTCACCGGCAGCTGCTCCGTCAGCGTCTCCACCGGCAGCCTCATGGCCGCCACCTTGACAAAGCCCAGCACGCTCTTCACGACCTCGCGGCTCGGGGACCGCAGCAGCAGCAACACCGTCGACAGCAGGCGCGGCGCCATGCCCTGCAGCGCGCCGCTGAACTCAAACAGCAGCCGCGCCGCCGCCATCACGGTCGCTGACACCATATGGGGCGTGCCGGCCGCCATGCCGGCCAGCACGGCGTTGAAAAAGTCCACTAGGCCGCCGGTCAGCGTCCCCGCCCCCTCACCGCCGCCGCCCTCGCCGTCGTCGCTGCCGGCCATGGTGTCGCCTGCGCCGCCGCCCTCCAGCCTGATGGGCCGCGCGTCGTCCAGCTCGTGCGCCAGCTCGACCAGCAGCTGGTAGGCAGCTTCCCGGGTCTTGGTGTTGGCCTCCTTGGTGCACAGCACCAGCTCGCCCACGAGCGCCGCGCCCACGGCGCTGCGCCGCTCGTCAGAGCCCACCGCCGCGGAGATGGCGGCGCCGCCGGGCACGCCGGGTGCATCTGCGAGGCCCAGCAGGTCGGGCACCTCGACGCCGCTGGACGCGTCCAGCAGCAGGATCAGCGGCCGCAGCAGCCGCAGGCGGTAGCGCTTGGCCGAGCTGGCGCTGGCGGCCGCGCCGCGCAGGGCCAGGTCCAGCAGCGGCGCCAGCTGGCGGCGCGCCCAGGCCGGGCGGTGCTCCGCCAGCGAGGCGAGGACCTTGTAGCCCTTCTTCTGCAGCAGCGTGTCGGGGCCCAGCACCAGCGGCTTGGCGGCGGCCACCAGGGCGGCCAGCGCGCCGTCGTCCAGCGGGCCCTCCACGGCCAGGGCCAGCGCGGCCTCCAGGAACGCGCCGGCGCGCTCCTGCGGCGTGGAGCCTCCCTCCGTCACCTCGTCAGGCGGCGGAACCTTGCGGGTGGGGGGGTGGTGGGAATGGAAAGTTCAGTGGGGGTGCAGTAGGGTGAGAAGGGCACGATGCACTGGCGTCGCTGTCGATGGCGCAGTTTGGCCACGGTTCGGCACCAGCAGCAGGCGCCCTCAGCTGCAGTAAGTGCCCCACCTACAGCACCACGCATGCACAGCCACACCCACGCAGTCAAAGCTGCCCCACATCCTCGCCAACCAAAGGCGCACGCACGTGCCCTGCTTCCCCCCGCCCGTACACCCCCCACCTCTGCGGCGGCGTCGCGCTGGATCTTGACCAGCTTGCCCAGGGCGGAGCGGAACAGGGCCGCCACCAGCGTGGGGTCAGATATGGACGAGTACGCCCCCACCGCCGCTGCAATCGGCGCGCGCGCCTCCGGCTCCGACGCCAGGAACGTCGTCAGCAGCAGCGGCAGCCAGTTGCGCGCCAGCGGCCGCAGCGCCGCCAGCTGCGCGGCCGCGCGGGCGCCGTCAAACCACGCGGGCGCCGCGCCGCCGACGGCACCGGCGCCGGCGTCGTCGGCCGCAGCCGAGGCGGCGCCACCGCGGCCGCCGCCCGGGGCCCCATACTCGTCATCGCTGTCGATGCCGCCGCCGTCGCTGCCGCCCTCTGCCTTGTCTGAACCCGAGCCGCCGCCATCTTCGTCGTCGCCCGGCCCCGCCCCTGCAGCCGCCGCGGCCCGCGGCCGCGGCCGCGCCTCCCTGCCGCCGCCGCGCGTCTCCCCCGGCGGCAGCAGGCTGTCGTCGCCGGCCGCGATCGCCGCCGCGCGCGCCTGGCGGCACAGGCGCTCGAGCGCCGCGGCCACCGGGGCGCGCAGGTCCTCCCGGCCGTGGAACGCAGACGCCCAGTCCTTGGCCGCCGCAGGGTACGCGGCGGCCGCGTCGGCCGGCCACGAGCAGAACGCCGGCAGCGCCGCCCAGAGCTGCGCCTCCAGCGTGTGGCAGTGCAGCGCGACCAGCTTGTCGCCCGCGGCCGCCGCCGCCGCGGAGCGCCCGCCGAGCGCGCGCGCGAGAGGCAGCAGCGCGCCGGTCCAATAGGCGAGGCGCGCGCCGCGCACGTGGCGGCGCATCATGGGCAGCAGCCAGGTGCGCGCCTCTGCTGTGCCGTCGATTCCCTCCTTTAGGTTCAGGGGCAGCGCCGCCAGGACAGACTCAGGGCCCAGCCACCGCAGGGCCACGCCCAACGCGGCCTCTGCGGCCGCGCCGTCGCTGCCAGCATCGCCGCCGCCGCCCGTGCCCGTCGCGGCCGCCGACCGCGCGCGGC